AAAACCTTAAATTAAAAAAAAAAAGAATAGGCTCAAACATAGTAACAACTATCTGGATGGTGCAAAACTGGGCAAGGTTTCAGTCTGTTGCAAAAGGTCACCTAAAAACAATACCAGGTACAAGTGGAGGGGGTTTTAAGCAAGGAAATTTTAAGATCTAACTTGTTTTAAAATATTCTCCCTGGCAGCTATAAGGGAGAAGGAAGAAGAAGGTGGGGAACTCCACGTCGGTTCATCCTGATGGGCTAGCTTACAACTGCTGTGAGGACCTGTGCAATGAGGTCCAAGAAGTGACCACTAGATTTAGCCGAAAGGAAGGCACCGATCGGTGCAGTTTCAGCGGCATAGTGGTAACAACAGAAGTGGAGGCGGTGAGACTAGATGATTTGTTGGAGAAGGTTACTATGATGGACCAATAGTGGAGGAGGGTGTGAGACCAAGGTATGTAGCAAAGATTATTCCAGTATTGATGTGAATGTGAGTTTCCTGTGACTGCGGTCACACACTACCACACTTCACAGAAATTTGTTCCTTCCGAGTTCTGGAGACTCTCTCTCTCTACCATGGCTCTAGGGGAGACTCCTTTCCATGCCTTTTCTAGCTTCTGGTGGTTGCAGCTTGCTTGGCTTATGGCCACATCACTTCAGCCTCTGTGTTTGTCCTGACGTCGCCTTCCCCTCTTTATGTCTATCTCATAAGACTATATGTGAATGCATATAGGCCCCACACAGATAAGCTGAGATAAATTCCTCTTCTCAAGAGTCATATAAGGTAATATTCAGTCTTTTGTCATATAAGGTAATATTCTCAGTGTAAAATGAGAGCCAGGGAGTAGAGGTGGGCAAGGACAGACTCCTGCCCTGTGGCATGCACACCCTCATCTAACCCCACCCCACCGCAACAACCCAGAAACCTGTGCTCCAAGTTCTCCTGTTTGCATCTACATCTCCCTTTCCTCCTACATCCAATAGCACCTCTGGCAGCTGGACCCTCTAGCCAGGGTTAACATCTTCAAGTGTCAGGAACTGTGGACCCAAACTAGGCGCAATGGGTACCATATGAGAAATTCTAGAGGGAGGAAGTGTTAGATGTGAGCAGACACTCTTTGTTTTCAAGTGTAGCCAAAATGTCATTGTTGTGCCTAATTGGGTCCCCCTTTCCTTCTGTAACATATACTCTAATCTTCCTCAATTAGCAAGCATTTTGTCAGCTTTGTAACAGGTGAAGGTTATAGTGTTTGAGGACTTGGGTGGAGTTCACAGCTGACCATGCAAGCCACACACCTGGAGCCTTGTGGCACTAATGCCCTCTACGCCCAGCTGGAACCACGGGCCAGTCCAAGGTAAATACCCAGATAAAAGGTGCTTCTGGCTCTCATTCCCTGTTCCCCACCCTGGTTAATGTTTGGCTTTATAAGAGTAACACTTCCTTCCCTGCAGGAGACTTTACTGGCCACCTGGAGCTGCTTTATCCTAAGGAGGACCTGGAAAGCAAGTCAGAGAGGTCTGGGCCCCTGACACCAACTCAAATCAATTAAATAAGGGGGACGTCTCAAGCCTCCTGGACTCTAGGAGAGTTCTCAAGTTCTGGTGGGAACAGAATCCCCTGGTTAAAAAGATAGAGATACTGGAATCCCATCTGCTTCTCACCCCCTAGAGGCTGATGTTAAGTGCCCTCGAGTTGATCCCGACCCATAGTGACCCTGTATAGGGTTTCCAAGGAGCAGCTGGTGAGCTTGAACCACTGACCTTGCAGTTCAAATGGCTTTGCAGTCTGGCGCATTAACCCACAGCGCCACACCAGGGCTAAATGGGGCCCTGTAATCTGTGTTTTTAGCCTGCTCACAGGTGAAAATACAAGAAACAGCTGATGAAAGAAAACTCGTCCCAGGCACCCAACTGCAGGAGGGCTTAGGGAAGCCAAAGCCAAGGAAACTTAGGCACACCTCTCCAACCCCTTGTGTGAGGACTGGTGCTAGGTACAGGTCAGGAGATCTTACCTTCCCAGGACAGGAGTTGGAGGCTGTACCTCTTCCTAACCTCCGGGCATTGGAGCTGGTTAGGAGAGCTGGATCTGGGGAGCTTCCTGGGGGGTTCCTTCCCTACATCTACACCTGACCTTCCAGCTTAGCACAAATGCAAAGGCCTGTGAGTCACATTTCTTTCTCCTTAATATACCCCCACACACCTCCAGGGTTTTAAGATCAGGGCAAGAACTAGCAGATTTAAACTTTTACGAATCTTCCTGCCTCAGTGTGGCACAGGTTGACGGGTTGAGCTGATTCCCGGGTAAGCTGAGTCTCTCTGGACAAGTTCCAGCTCCCATCTGATGGGCAGCTCAGTCCAGGGAGTGTGACTGCCCTGCTGTCCAGGAGAAAGTCCAAAAGACCATCGAGTAACCCATATAAAAACCAAAAGGGACTCACAAATGAGAGAAAAAGTGTGCTGTGCACTCTCAAGCCTTGAAATTTGAACTCCCTGGCCTTTCTCACACCTGATTGGAGGCATCCCAGTCAGAGACCCTGAGGAGCAGCACGGTAGAATAACCCAGCTGCCCTGAACAAGCTCACAGCCTGGCTAAGCAAGAGGTCCAGGCCCACTGAGACGAGGCTCAACCCGTCAACCTACTAAAAAGGATTCTGAGGGCATTCCCCCAGTCAATTCCCACAAACATATTTTCCTTACCAGCACAGTTTACGACAGGCAGAACCCTCTTACAGAAATAACAATATGCCTGCTGCCCGTTTCCCAAACACTGGTGCCGTTCACAGCACTGCAACATAGCCTGTAACATGGTAGAAATACAGTACCAGCTTTGAGCCAGCTCTGAGTTCAAGTTCTAGTTCTGACTCTCATTCCAGATGCACCATCCTGAACAAGACTCTAATCTCTCTTAGCCACCACCCTCTAACTCCAAAATATCCTCTAGAATTATTTCAAGAATTAAAAGTATTACCTACACCCACGGAAGCAGTAGCTCAAAAGAGGGAACAGGTCCTTACAGCAAGAATCATTCCCACCCCCTCCACACACAGAGTAGACAGGGATGGGCAACTTGGACAATGGCTACCTAAAATGGGGGGTGGGGGGCTACAAAGGCAAGAAGTGACTGGCTTACAAGCTTTCAAGAGGGAACCTAGATAGAGAAGACCTGGAGGAAGGTAGAATCTCCAGTGAGTAGTATTCAATCTGACTAGGCAGGCCTGATGAAATGCAGAGGGTCTCTTGTGATACAATAGTGAATAATTGTTATCAGGACTGACTGTGAGGGTTGGAAATGTAAAGGCAGATGTTTTATAGCAAGGAGGGGAGTGATTGACTTTTCAGTCTGGGAGCAGAGGTCCCTAGGACCATCAAGGGAGAAGAGCAGAGAGCGGGACCCTACCCAGAGAAGCAGTGATGCCTGAAATGGAGCCAGAGATGATGACTTAGAGCGATGGAGCAGCTGGAGACTTTAGATCCCTAGAGGGAGAGCGAGTGTGTGCTGAAGAGCTGGGGGTACGGGGGAAGGATTGCATGGAGGGGATTGTAACCATGGCAATGAGACAATATTCGATAGAATGAATGTAAAACTAATGTTCTCCCATGTAAACTGTCACATAATTCATAATAAATCATTTAAGAAAAAAAATTAAAAGTATTTAAATTTAATATAAACTGCCTGGTACATAGTTAACGCTCAATAAATGAGTTTCTTCCTTTCCTTCTGATTCCTCTGGCTCTAAGGAGCCATGGTGATGCAAAGATTAAACACTTGACTGCTAATCTGAAGGATGGTAGTTCAAATACACCCAGCTCCATGGGAGAAAGACCTGGCTATCTTCTTCCATAAATATTACAGCTAAGAAACCCTATGACCAATACAATAGCACCTACTAACCACTTGTGGCTCTGTTTCCCTGTCTCAGTTTCAAATCCACAGAGCTCGCAAGCTCACCCAACTCAGAAACACCAAAGGGACCCAGGCACCAAAGATAATAACTATAACGAAATGCTGATCCCCTGATACACATGCGCTAAACTGAATTCCTCTGCTACACCCCGGGGCTCTGAGGACTGACAACATCCCCAGGTAACCTTTCTACAGTTTGCCAAGATCTCGGTGACACTTCCCAGCTTGTTGGGACAGAGTGGAGACGGCCCATACAGGTTGATCACTAGTTCATGGGACAAACAGGGTTACATAACAGCAATGCGGCTCTAAGACTGTCCGCCTCTTTGGAGAACCAGTTTGCACTTTTAATTTTTAAAACTATATAAAGGTGATCTGAGTCACCATTAAGCATGCAGGGACAAAAGTCTGTGACTTCCCCCAAAGTTAACCAGCATCTTCTCCTGATTGGTCTGGCAGATTCTGCAGCTAAGTAGGGAGGAGACTGTCCCAGGGTCCAAAATTGCCTGGGGTCTGAACCTCTGCCTTACCGGCAGGGTCGTCAAACCTCCAGCGCCTGAGTGGAGGGTGGGGGGCACCCGACTGCTGGAGCAATGCTTTCCCCCGAGCCTCGACGGGCGCACCGGGGACCGCACTCTCCGGCATTCCTAGGGTTGGTCAGTCCCTCTGCTGACCTCTTTAGAGGGACGCACGCACCCAGGACGCCCTAAAGTCGCAGAGTCGGTCCGTGTACTTATCCGGGGAACTGGTGAGGCTCCCAGCATAAGGGTACACGTGTCTCAGGGGGTGGCTGACGCCTCCCAGCCTGAGAGCTGAGCTCCGAGCGCCCCGCGCGCCCCAGCCTGCCTGTCTGAGAACTTGTGCCTGGAGAGAGCGGTTCTTTTCCGGTCTTCCACGGAGCCCTAGAGTCCGGGGCGCCGCGCGTCTCACCTGAGCGGGACGCAGATGGCCAGGTACCTGTCGACAGCCACGGCCAGGAGGCTAAAGATGGAGCTCTGCGTGAGCACTAGCACGAAACAGGCGAGGAAAAGGCAGCTATAAAAGTCAGTGCAGAAGCCCAAGCTGATGGTGATGGCAAAGGGGATAGCGAACAGTCCCACGGCCACGTCGGCCGCCGCCAAGGACACCAGGAAGTAGTTGGTGGGTGTCTGCAGCGCACTCGACGTACCCACCGCGGCGCACACCAGCACGTTGCCCGCCACCGACAGCACGGCGATGGCCAGCTCCAGCGCCACGTACAATCCATCCTGCACCGCCAGCGGCATGGCCAGGTCCGTGAGGAGCCTACCGGGGCCACGCCGAGTGCGGGGCAGTCTTCTGGGCCCCGCCAGGCATGGCCTAAGCCCCAGACCGCGCGTCCACCAGCCTGGTCCTGCCCGCCAGACTCTCCGGCTCGGGGAGGGGCTCGGGGGGCGGGACCGGTAACGGAGGCGGGGTCTCCGGCGGGGCGGGGTCCTGGAGGTGGGGCAGCTGCCTCTTGGCCGCGGTCTACACTTCGCTGCGCAGCTGCTTTTACCTTCGCTGAGGTCCGAGCGTGGGCGGGTCCCGCGAAAGTTTGAGGCTCACCTTGTGGTAACGAGTATGTAACCAAGACAAGTTTCCCAACTGAGTCCAGCTCCGCTGTGTGTCCCGAGCGGTCGCACTGTGTCCGGCGTGGGCCGCTACTAGGGTGAGGACGGAGCTCTCTGCCCCAGGGCTCGGTCTATACTTAGGGCCCACTGCGAAAACTCTCAGCCACATCACCAAGAACAGTTGGGGAGCCCACTCCTCCAAAATCCCTCCACTATCGGGCAGGGAAGCCTCACGCAACCCAGAGCATGCACTGCGCGATTGAACTTACCTGACCAACGACGCGATTCTGCAGGGTTTCGAGGAGACGGAAGATAAAAGCGGGAACCTGACTCACCCGCCGTCTCCGGCCACATTTTCCCACCGGAAAAGCCCCTTCAGCTCGCCGCCCTCAATGGCAAGGAGCCCTTGGGATGCTGCAGCCCCGCGCCATGCCACCCCTGCCCTCCACAACGCCAAAGTTCACCCATTACTTACTTGTCTTCCAGGCCATTCCTGGGAGCTGCTCTAGCCTCGGGCCAACTGACTCCATCTCTTCCTTCTCCTGCTACTTTGTGATGGACGCCTCCACGTCTTCTGCTATCTTCCTAAAATGCCTAAAATGTTAAAGTACCATCAAGTTGATTCCAACCCATAGCGACTCTGTATAGGGTTTCCGAGGAGTACCTGGTGGATTTGAACCGCTGCCCTTCTAGTTAGCAGTCCAGTGCTGATCCTACATTGCCTTGGGACCTAAGCCTTCTATTTATCCTCCACTCTTTCCCTAGATAAGCTCATAGCTCCCAAGGTTTCCCTTGCTACCTGTACAATCTTCACTCCCAAATCTTTCTCCTCCAGTTCTAACCTCCACTCCCAACCCAGACCTCCAACAGGCATGAAAAGTAATGTCCACCTACAAGTATGTAACAAGTATTCTCCAAAACTCTCACAGTAGATGTATTTGCTGCCTGAGTTAATTATAGGGTTTTGTTTTGTTTTCTCTTAATCTGTTTTCCAGTCAGTTTTGTTACTTCTATAATTAAAAACAAAAACTGTGCTTTATATATTAAAATATTGGAGAAACCACACATTCCTTGGCCTGGTCATCTAACCCTCTAAGTTCCAATATCCCTTCTCCACCAGTCAAGATCCCTTAAGACTTGATTCACGCTTCAGATCCCCCACAGGTGCTAACACTGGAGAGAAAGCAAGTAACTTGTCCAGGAACACTTGCTTGGAGTAGTCGGCAGGGTGAAAGTTACAAGAGGCTTTCTGGGAGGAGGCATTTGCATTATGGGCAGGGTTTGGCAGTGTGAAGAGATCAGGCTGGGTAGAGGTGGGAGGGAGAGAGGCTGGCTCAGAGACAGCCATACCCCGGAGAACAGAGAAAGACATTTGGCTATGAAAGGCTTTGACCACCAGCATAGTGTGTTGGGATGTTTTGCTGGCTGTACCGGGGTGCCAGCCCTGGGAGGTACTGAACAGAGTAATGATATGATCAGAGCTCTATCTGGCAGCAGTGCATGGAGAGTTGGCAGAGAGAGAGGAGGCAGTGGGACTGAGGCCAAGTGGGTGCTGCAAATGCTTTCTGCACACTCTGCAACGTCTGGGCACTGGGCTCAGCTCCAGCACTTCCTGTGACTGGAATCCTCATTTCACCTTTCCAGAACCCAACTTCCTTCAGAAGACCTACCATGAAGGATGGAGCAGGGAATATCCCCAGTGTAAATCTGTGCCCTTATATGCTGCTATCTGCTGGGTTCACATAACTGGTATCCACACTTGGACACCACCAGTGAAGCCTCATTCTTCTCTGTCCTCTCTCTACTGTACAACCACATAGCACAGTACCCTCTGACTAACACACCCACCCTTCTTTCTCCATAAAGTTTAGGTTAAATGACTTGAGTTATCCTGACTCCATGAAACCATAGTTCGGAGCTCTCTATGGGATTGGTGCTGGACTCATCGAGTCCATGGAGGTGGCAGTAAAATAACAAGTAATTACAAATATCAGGACGATTGTTGTTTGTTGGTAGAATTCTCCCATTCATGCAAGAAACCGAGTTCTAATCCAGGCTAGTGTGCCTCACGTGCATCACCATTCATCTGCAGTGGTAGTTTGCATGTTGCAATGATGCTTCCAAGGAGTCCTGGTGGTGCAGAGGGCTAAGCAGTGGGATGTTAACTGCAAGGTCAGCAGTTCAAACCCCCCAGCCACTCTGCAGAACAATGAAGCTGCCTGCTCTCCTAAGGCTTTTCAATCTTGGAAACCCTATGGAGCAGTCCTACTCTGTCCTGTGGGGTCGCTATGATTTGGAATTGATACCGTGGTAGTGGGTTACTACGATTCCAGACTAAGATGGGCTAGGAAGAAAGATCTGGCGCTCTACTTCTAAAATCAGCCAATGAAAACTCTGTGGATCACAACAGTTCTGTCTCTAGACAATGATAGAGATGGCCCAAGATTAGGGAGCACATTGTTGTGCATGGGGTCACCATAAATTGGGGCTGTGAGTAACATTGTCGATAACCTGATACTGCCTCGGTTCCTCTTGGTTATGTGGCCACCAAAGAGTTATCACAAGTGCTTACCAACAAACGCTTAAGAAATCCAATCTGTACTCATTTTAGTGAGAGTGAGGTTTCCTTTATTCGGTTTTGCAAAATCGGGCGCCCAACCCAGTAGACACGGGCAGACGTGCATCATGGCCAGCTGACAGTTTTATTATTCCTGTTTTTCCCATCCCCAGTTAGCATGCAGTTCACAGTCTAGCCCAGATGGCACCCGTGGCCTAAATGACTGTATTCTTATTTAAAGCTCCTAGTCTTAGAACAGATTTCTTTCTCCCCTCCCCCAATTCATCCTGCTCATGTACCCCTGGGTGTGACTCAACAACCTATGTCTGGTGTAGCCATCTTGTGTGCCCTTTATTCCTGAAGATGAACCATCTTGAGAATTTCTCACAGGGCCAACAGGTAACAGCTAATTGCATTGTTTAGGAAACACAAGAAAGGGGAAAATCTGGAGGGAGTCACGGGTTTAGTTTGGAAAGCAACTGGGGTGCAATGAACAGAGCCCAGGTCTCAGAAGTAGAGAACCCAGGTGTGACTCCTAACTCTATTGCTGATCTTAGACAAGTTGGTTCATCTTTCTAAGATGAAGTTTCCAAATGCTTAAGGTGGAACAACAAAACCTACCTCACAGGGACAGGATAAAGATGGGCAGGAAGAGCCACCTGCCATCTATCCATCTATTTAATCCAGTCACCTTAAAAACTATTGTAATGCTAGGAACAGTTGGATCAATTAGGACTAGACTGTTTGGAAACCTAAGTGGATCTTTAACTAGTAACAACAGTGACGTTTTGTGAGCAAATTAAGCTGTGGAATATTCCAGGTTCCTGGTCCCCATCCTTCCATCTCCCACTTCTGCTCCACCTTGACTCAACTGCCAGACCAAAATCCAAATGGCATGCAAGTAATTTCAAAGTAGGTGCAGCAACTGGAGAGATCATCAGTAAAATCTCCCAGGTTCAATCCGTGTTTCTGCTCTGCAATTTTCAGCAGTTTTTCATTGTGTACCAGGTCTAAATAAAGGGAAGTATGAGAAGGCTCCAGGAATTCATAGACTACCAACTGAAATGTTTCAACACATTTCATTGTACTGGAAGCACTCACTAGTCTATGCTAATAAATTTAGAAGACAGCTACTTGCCCAACAGACTGGAAGAGATCCAGACTTGTTCCCTTTCCAAGGAGAGGTGAGCAAACAGAATGCAGAAATTATCAAATAGTATCACTAATCTCACACACAAGTAAAATGTTGTTGAAGACTATTCAAAAACAGTTACAATAGTACATCAACAGGGAGCTGCCAGAAATTTAAGCTGGATTCAGAAGAGTTGGTGAAAGAAGTGGGGATATCACTACTGAGGTCAGTTGTATCTCATTGCTGACGTCAAATGGATCTTGGCTGAAAGCACAAAATACCAGAAGGATGTTTACTTGTGTTTTATTGACTCTGCTTTTAACTTTGTGGATCATAACAAACCATGGATAACATTGTGAAGAATGGAAATTCCAGAACGCTTAATTGTGCTCATGCTAAACCTCTACATAGAACAAGAGGCAGTATTTCAACCAGAGCGACTTTTTCATAATGTATATCTATTAATATTTTCTATTTATTAATATATCATCTTCATTGTTTTTGTTGTTGTTAGGTTCTGTCATATAGGCTCTGACTCATAGCAACCCTGTGTACAACAGACCAAAGCACTGCCTCACCCTGTGCGATACTTACTATTGTTATTTCAGCATTTTTTCTCCCGCTGAGGGTCTTCCTCGTTTTCATTGACATTCCACCAAACATGGTATCTTTCTCCAGAGACTGGTCTTTCTTGATGACATGTCCAAAGTACAAGAGAAGAAGGGGCAATGTGGCCATACTTCTTCCAAAGCTAATTTGATCATTCTTTTGGCAGTATATATTATAGTCAATAATCTTCATCAACACAATAAATCAGACACATCAAGATTCATCTGTGATTTTCCTTATTCATTGCCCTACTTTCACAAGCATATGAAGCAATGGAAAAGACCATGGTCTGGTTTAGGCAAATCTTAGTCCTCTTGGCTCTTTAACACTTTAAGGAGGTCTTTTGTGGCAGATACGTTGTTTGATTTCTTGACCTTTGCTTTCATGAGTACTGAT